CAGGGACAGCCCCCAGGGAATGGCTGAGCTGTGTCAGGGTAGGCTCAGGGTGGATCTCAGGGAAAGGTTCTTCCCCCAGAGGGTGGTTGGCACTGAACAGGCTCCCCAGGGCAGTGGGCACAGCCCCAAGGCTGCCAGAGCTGCAGGAGGATTTGGATGATCCTCTGGGGCACAGGGGGTGACTCTGGGGATGGACCTGTGCAGGGCTGAGGGTTGGACTGGATGATCCTTGTGGGTCCCTTCCAGCTCAGCACATTCTGTGATTCTGTGTGATTCTGTGAATAGTTCTGTGTTTTTATGAGCTTTAGGATTTAGTTCAGGCAGAACTATTGAATCTCCAGAATTTCAAGCCTATATTCAGAATTATAAAGGTTAAATTGTTTAGCAGCCTCTTACTAACCTTGTCCCTTTTCCAACATGATGCTCCCAACCTTTCAAGTGGTTCATCTGCGAGACCTTGTGTTCTGTGCTGCTTTTGGCAGTCAGGCTAAGGGGCTGGTCAAAGAGGAAGGTCTGGAACAAGACAGAAATAGCTGTCTCCTCTAGAGATAGTTAATTCTTGCAGTGGTGATTGCACTCTGTGCAAGGAGAGGAAGATGTTCAGGGAAGTTCCACGGCAGCAATGTCCTCCTGAGGTCAGAGGTGCAGCAAGTGAGGAGTGTCATAAGCATGGGTTTTACAGGATAGCCTGGGAGAACTCCTGACCTCCATGCCTTCCAAAAGCCAAGTGTCACTTCAGCATTATTACAGTTTTCCCTGAAGGTTAAAATACTAAACACTTCAGTCTATTATGATCATTGCACTATCCATTTCAGAAACACCTCCTGGGTTCTCACAGCTTTGTTTGGCATTTGCAGCAGCTCTGTTGGGCATGTCCTGCACATCCCCTGGGAGCCTTAGAGCTGAAGGGGAAAACTGAAACACTCCTGATTCAGAGGATGAGGAGACATTGCAAAGTTAGTGCACCTACATCTGCCTCCAAAGGAGAACACTGACTAAAAATCCGCCTTGATGTGCTCTTGAATTGCAAAAGCCTTCTAATGCAGCCTGTGCCCATGATTTATAACAATGACTCATAATATTGCATTATACTTAATATGATGTAACGCTGATGCAAGATGCCATTCGTGGAATTTCAATGTCACAGAGAAAAGGAGAGGAGAGAGCAGTGTGGTCATGTACCTTGCCATGCTGTCAAAAGGAAAATGTACAGCCAAAATACGCAGAACCTTTCGATATCTACTTTGCTATTTTTTAGCAGAATAACTCAGGGAATAACATTTTTATTTCCTGGAGCATAAATATCTCTCAGACATACGTTATTGTGTTACTTACAGTAATTTAATTAACTTTATGCTCGAGAAGACAAATTTGCTAACAGACAATTCAGTCTTGCAATTATAACCCCCTCACATGGAAGTTTGCAGGGCAAATCAGGATTATGCCTTTAAATTAATTGAAGCTTTATCTCTCTTTTCTGACCCAGCTGTTATGAATTCTCCTCCTGTTCTCCCTGTACTCTTGCTTCTTCCTGCAGTGAATCAGCATTTCAGGAAATACTAATTCGAAGAGGAAAGACACCCTAAACTCTGCTTCTGAAGGTCAGAAATAGCTGCTCTCCAATAGGTTTGACAAATGAGGTGAGGCTTCTCGGGCTGCTTGGGGCCAGTTTCGTAGGGTGGATGCGACCCCTGTTCTGAACTCTGCCCCCTCCCTTCCACCCAGCCTGGGAACTCTGCACTTGTGCTACAAAAGGGAGTCCTGGTGCTTTGTCACCAGGGCAGAGAGAGAAACAGGGAGCAGAGCCCTGTCCTTCAACAGTGAGGAAAACTGCTTATGGCTGCAGGAGCCGCTGGCATCACTGCCTTTGGTCCGGGGCGTGGGAGCAGCTGGAAATGGGGACGTGTCCCACACAGTGCTCTCAGAGTGCTCCTCGTGCAGCCCGGGCCTGCACACCACTGTTTTTCAAGCACTGCACCACCAAAGCTGTTAAGCAAAGGAACGTGGATGTTCTCCACCTGTGACCTTTAAAATCCTCCACATCTGACAATTGTCTCATTTCTGGAAAGAGCTGACAGGTCGTAGAATCACAGAATACGCTGAGCTGGAAGGGACCCACAGGGATCACCCACTCCAACTCCTGGCCCTGCACAGGACACCCCAAAATCCCTCTCTGTCCCTGAGAGCACTGTCCAAAGGCTCCTTGAGCTCTGGCAGCCTTGGGGCCGTGACCACTGTCCTGGATAACTGTTCTCCTGCTCTGACAGGGTCATGTATTCCATGTGTTCTGAGACTGTTGATGGCACTGCAGGAAGCAGAGAGGCATCTGCCTAAAACAAACTATGAGAAGGTGGAAAGGCCTGAATGAGATCTCCAAAATTCCTGGATCAGGCTTTTCCTGGAGGTTTTCTGTTGGTTTATACCGTGCAGTCCTACCTACGCCCAGTTTCCCCAGTAAGCCCAGCAGACCTGCCTGCTGCAGCACAAAGTCTGTCACCTCTCACTCACCAGATGGAACAGATGAATTCACCAGTGATTCTTAAGAAGACTCTCATCTTATCTCAACTAGATCATGAGAGACCTGTGCTTTATTAGAGTGCACCCTGAATTCCCTGCAGCTGGTTGTGGTCCTGAAGAAGGACCTTTTCAGAGCTGAGTGGGCACAACACACAGCAAGACCAAAGAAGTAAAGGGGACTGACTTTTGGATGGTGGAGCGGTGTCTACAGGTGGAGGTAACAAATCAATCAGAATTGAACATCTGGTTTATTTTTGGAAGACTGGTAGGTGCCAGTCTGTCTCCTAAGTGCATAAATATCATCAAAAACTTAGCCACGGGAGAGCAAAACTAGACAAGAATTTGTAGCCCAGAGGAAAGCCGGCACAAATAGATAGTGTGGAGGCTGATAAGATCCCTATTGCTCCAAAAGGGAGAGCACCACCTCTCAACAAGACTGTCTTTGTTGTGAAAGAGTTGGGTTGTGAGAGACCTGGCTTGCCAAACACCCATAATGCCCCCCCCCTCCCCGCCAATTGTCTTTAAATACTGAGATCTTTCACACAAGAGCAAAGCCTGAAAGGAACCTCTCTAGCAAAAACATCATTTATTCATTCTCTCCAGGACAGTGGAGTAACAATCCTCCTCTGAGCCCTGTTACTCTTTCTTTCCCCCGGAGGTTTCAGAGGTTTGTTCGAACAAAGATCAGTCATTCTGCCCTGTGAGGGGCGCAGGAAGAAGCGCAGAAATATCTCGAGATCAGAGCAGTTCCTGAGCCTGGTGGAGAAATGGCAGATGGCCAGAGATAGCACACACCACTGTTCTCCCAGGTAACAATGAGGAGAGCTGGATCTTCCAGGCACGAGCTTTCAGGACAGCAAATTGTGCACAGAAAGGTGAGAAACACAAGGAGCTCATGTCCTCAAGGGGATGCTTTGCCTTCCCACAGCCCAGCTCCAGCACCAATAGCCCTCCTCTACCCCAGGACCACACCTGGGTGAGAATGAAGATAAAAAATGCTGCTTTTCTATTTGTCTGTATCTTTTGGGTCTGTATTGGGAAAAAAATTTATAGCCAGCAGGCAGTTCCATCTATGTTTGCAGTCTGGTGTGGGCTGATGTGTCATTTACTGGGAACCTTTTACTGCCAGCACCTATCAAATACTTTCAAGGAAGTGGCTTTCCCACAAAGGTGAAACTCCTCTGCTATGTTTTACTTCACTAGATTTGTGCTTGTACAGCAGAGCAGGCTGTGGGCGTTGGTGCTTTACCAAGCTTTTCAGCTACCAGAAGCTAAGTAATAAAGATCTCAGATCATTTGTTTAGCAAATATTAATGGTTAATCCTTGAGTTATTATCAGAATTCAGTTCTGCTACTGTGGAAGTGCAAGTTTTTGCACCAGAGAGCCAGACACAGGCACTGGAGATACTACACAGGGTAAGGCCCACAACCTCACCTATAAAACTACCACAGCAGCATTAAATTAAAGAAGGGCTGGGCTTTTGTTTGGGGTGGAAATGGCTTCTCTTCAATACAATCTGCTTGGCTCCAGCGTAAGTGGAGATGTCTCAGAGCCTACAGGTAATTACCACAACGAAAATAGTATCCACAAATTACCTGCTGCTCCCAACTTCCTTCTCCCATTTGCTTCTAAGTCACACGAACATAATGCTGAAATCAGGAGTATTGCACAGGAGGGCAGATGGGAGAAGGTAAAACGGAGAGCTGAGGAAGCAGAGGATTGACATTCCTCCCATAAGATGCCATCAGCAAAATGGTCACCCCCACAGGGAAGGCAGTGCTGGATGTACCTGCATGGGGAGCACACAGAGACACCCCTGGCTGTTCCCAGCCGGAGCCACACCACCACTGGGACTGCCCTGAGGTTTGCTGGGAATGCCTGACCCGCAGGGATCTGAGGGGCACAGATCACACTGGGTCTGGCACCCGCAACAGCTGCCACTGACCATCAGGAGCTGCGTTCCTGCCTTCCCCAGCACCGCTTCTGCAGTGCCTGCTTTCAGCTCCTCAGCCCCAAAGAACGGGGAAGGGGGTGGGAATCTCTCTGTGCTAAACCCAGCTGTGGTGTAACAGTGGGCCAGCCTGGGGTCCTGTGCTCAGTGTTTCCCTCCTCGCAGGGGCAGCGCTCACACAAAGAGCAGGGCTGGAACAGCGGGGTTGAAAACGATCCCTTTCCAGCTGAGTGAGAGGTTCATGTCTGAACCTGACGGGAATCCCGCTCTCCCACACAGTAGCAGCTTTTTATCATAAGTACCATTTGACTTCCCAGATAAAATGTTTGTTTGCTTTCTTCCTTTTACAGCTGTAAAGAGCTACATTTAGACAAACATTTGACGGACAGATGGTCCAACAAGCCTGTCTAACTTGCAGAGGTGCCTACTTGCCTACTGTAAATGATGTCAGCGTGAAAGCACTGGATTCTCCCGCACTGGAGGTGATGGAAGCCCTCTCCAACCCCGGGGTGGAGAGCAGAGGTCACTCACCTTCCTCCCGGCCTCGTTGTTGTGCAGGTTCATGAGCGTCCTCGCGTTCTGTTTGATCTCCCGGGCGTCCACAAAGACCTTGGCGAATCCGATCCCGTATCGGATGTCAGCGGAGCAGCCTCCCCATTTCCAGCCTTCCTCCTTGTGGTACTGTCCCTGTTTCTCCTTGTCACAACCACAGTCGCTCAGGTTGCCCTGCGTGCAGGCGGCGGTGATGGCGTGTGCCACCCCGGCCGCGATGATGGCGTAGGTGAACGCGGCCTCTCTGCTCCCTGAAACGGGAAAAGGGGCCATAAATACGGGGTACCAGAAGGGTGAAAACTGCCATAAACACGTGACAGCTGAAAGGGAAAAACTGCCATAAATCCATGATACCTGAAATGGAAAAAGTGCCACGAATACATTATATACCACACAGGGACACGGGTTAGAAAACCAGGCAAGTTCCTGCGGGGCAGACATCAGAAGTTATTATTAGAAGTGGTATAAATCTGCAGGCCTAAGCAGGTCTCTACTCTTCTGAGTATTGATTTCGGTGGATGCTCGCTCTCTAAAACGATGCTCTCCATGAGGGAGTCGGAGATAAAGCACTGTGGAGGCAACTTCATCTGCGTGCTTCCAGATGGTACTAGAAGCAGTCAAACTAAAATTTTAGAGCAAAAGGGTGGGATGGCAAAAGCTTTAGCTTAAAAAAAGAAGGAAGGAAGACAAAATAGGTGGAATTGGGGGGGGTGAAATCACTAAAATAACCATATTTGACTTTTTAAAACAAATCACAGAATCGCAGTGTCACAGAATGTGCTGAGTTGGAAGAGACCCACAAGGATCATCAAGTCCAACCCCTGATCCTGCACAGGACCATTCGCAAGAGTCACACCCTGTGCCCCAGAAGATCATACAAACGCTTCCTGAAATCATCTCAGAAGAAGGATTTTATTTATAAATTTAATTCTACACTAAAAGGGTTTTTTACAGTAAAACAATCTCTGCTGGACATCTTGTCCTGAAAGCATTTTAGCTGAACTGGGACATTTTTTTCACATTGTGTCACAAAGTTTTCAACACTGACTCAGTGAAATAAGTTTCGGGTTTAATTTCAAAATTTCTCACAGGATGGAAAAAAAATCCTGACCTGTTGAGAGTACCACGGCCAAAGAGAGGTGAAGTGGAGCCTCACCAGAGGGCTGTGAGGCAGAGGTTAAACCAATACTATTTTGTGCAATGAGGCTCTAATGAGAGGCTTCTGTTTGTTAAGGACTTACCCCTACTCTTATTTCTCCAATGACAGAACATGCCCTTGCATCAATAGGATCAGAATCAGGCTCTTAATTAGGAGACTGCAGATGGAAAGATCCACTTCCCTTCTCCAGTTCTGGCAGACCTCAGCTGCTGGCAATAGTTTATTATACATGAAACAAGCCCATTTCTGCTGTTTATTGGATTCCACCAAAAAATAATCATTTGGGAAAGAATCCTTACAAACACTTCACTCCTGGCTACATCCCTTTCACGTACAACATGATCTAGATTGTCACTTTTAATGAAAAATGTCCACTTCCTTATGCCAAGGAAGTAAAATGGAAAACAAGATGACATTATCACAAGCTGCTAATAGTCAGCTTCATGCCCTTTCATTCCCGTGGGTCCTGCTAAGCACTGTATTTATTAAGGAACTGGGAGTCAAGTATCAAACTTCCTCGAAGGATTCCTTGTTTATCCTCATTTAAAAAAAAAATTAAAAATTCATTAAATGTTGAATTGTTGTGACTGTGGAATTTGCAGATGAAGCTCTCTAGAGAACTTGTGGCTTTTTATGAAAATAGGAGTGTGGCAGAGAAATCTCCCCAGGCTTTAGGTGTTTTTGGAGCTGTGCTCTCAGAGCTCCTGGAGGCCAGAGGAGGCAGGTGGAAACGAGTCCCATTCCAGAGTGCAGCCACCAGGACCAGCCAGGGCAGCTTTCCAGTGCCTCCCCCAGTTCATACTCAACAATATCCTCACTATTTTTAGCCCAACACTATGAAAAATGCCCTCATAAACAGGAGAGGTACAATAAGAAGTCCCAGTCTCTCCCCTCAGAGGGGAACAATGCTTTACACCAGGTCTCTGTTTCATGAAGCACGACCTGGGATGATGTCAAAAAAAAGTATTTTTGAGTAGAAATTTTCATCTAGTTCTTGTTGTTTTGTTTTGTTTTGTTTTTTTTTCTTTCTTTGATTGGATGATTTCTGTTCCAGTACAAGTTATTTTTAAAATCTAGAATAAAAACCACTGGGAGATCACTTTACACACTTGATATTGTAAAGACTGAGCAGCTCTTTTGCTTCTGAGAGGGGAGAAAAATGCAACACAGAGAATATAAAACTAGTTACTACAAGAAGAATTGGAATCCAATGTCAAGCCTGATCATAAATTATATTACATAAAGTATTTCAGAAGTTTGTCTTATATGGGGGTAAAGTTTAGCAGCTTTTGAAAATTTAGGAGGTTACAAGGTAAACAAAGCAAGTGTCTGGAAGAATTGATCCAGGTAGGAAGCACCTTGGCACTTGTGGTAGTATTGATAAAGTGACATAGGTTTGTCACACCTGCATCCCACTGTTCCTGTTTGCAACTGGACTTTAATCTATGGGGGGTTTAAAAGTAAAAATTTAATTCAGAAATATAAATAATGAACAAATCAGTTGATCTTTATGGGAGTATTGGTGCAAATCACACCCCTGGGGCTGTCCTCAGCCCCAACAAGTGTTCCAGTGCTGTGTGAACATGGAGGCTTTTCTTCATGTGTTGGACATGAATATCTTCCTGCTCTTCCTGTTTCTTTCTGGACTTCAGTAAGGTGTTAGGGCACAATTATTTAGGGGCTCACCGAGCCTCCCTCACCACTGCCACCCAACAGGTTCTTCTCTGGCTGCCTCCACATCCCGTTCTTTTCCTCCCAGTCAGTTCAAAAAGGATGAGGATCATGGAAGATGTCCTCTTTTCATCTTTAATAGTTCTCTTTTGCAGATAAAGCAGATCTGGGGATTCAAATATTCTGGTATGCATTCGGTCGAAGGTTGGACCTGATGGTCTTGCAGGTCCTTTCCAACCTCAATGATTCCATCATCCTGTACATTGTGTTGCAGCTCCATTCGCTCTGATGGCAGATAGTTCGGCACTGGTGGCTTCCAAAATTCCAGCAGCTCCACTCTGCTGATGCAAAGCATCCTCCAAAACCCTGGAGTCCTGTGTCCAGACCCTTCCCTGGGCAGCACATCTTCCCAGATGTGACTCTGAGCTCTGCACACCCCCACAGAGTGACAGATGCCACAAGGGGACCACAGGCAAGTGCAAACACAAATATTGCCAGGACAGGAGGCTCTGCTAACACTGAGCATGATTACACACAACCCAGGAACACCTTGGAGCGTTAATCCTGCAAACACTCACACGCATGTCTTTGCTTCTGGGCCTAAATGTTTGTTAGACTGGGTTTTGGCTGATCAGCAACTCTATCAGCCTGTCTGTCAGCTGCAGAGAGTGGTCTGCACTCTGGTTATAATTCAGCTAACTTCATATTATTTCAAGTTTTATCCTAAAATTTGAAACATTTTAAAAATTTCACTCACACAGATTAAAAATGGGAACTGAGATTTAAAAAAAAATTCCACACCTCGATGTTTCTTGGAAAACAAAGCCCAAGCCTGCAAGATACAGAGTGGATTTACCTGCAGGAAGGCAGTAGGTGCTCAGCAGTTTGGGATCTGGGAGTGTTTCTAAACAGCCTGGCCTGCCCTATCAGTTCCCTCATAAATTGACTAAGCTGTGAAATAAAAAAAAAGACAAATTTCTGTTTATCTCACTGGAAAACACAGGTTGTATTTTCTGCTATTTAAAGCCAAAGGGTCAGAGAGGGAGTTATCTGCAGTGACATGAGCTGAAATATGATGGGGAAAATATAAAGATGGAAAACACAGCTCACCTTGCCAATTATGTGCCACAGCTCACATTACTTCCCATCTCTCTACAGAGGTCATAACTCATAGCCAGGGAAAACGAAGAGCAGAACTCATCCTCTGCCTGCTTTGGGAAGTGCCTCCTCCTTCCTTGGTAGACTATGTATGGTCTTGCAGGTTTTTTTTTATTTTTATCTTTCTTTAACCTAGCCTGAGTGATTAATAAGAATGGTACCTTAAAAAAAAAATCATTGGGGTGCCCTCATCGTATTTTTTTCTTCCCCTTCCATTTAAAGTTTTGGGAGTTGGTGCCTAAAAATATTGTACTCACTTCGAAATGGTTGGTTCCCTATAAATCAGCACTGTGGTTTTACAAAGATTAGTGCCAATAAATAAAATAAATAGAGTTTCTTTAAGAGGCATTTGAGACTTTGGGGGTTTTAGTCACTGCCCACTTTCACAAGCTGAAGTTTCTTTCATCGACACATGAAATTCTCGGAGAGGAACCACTCCAGGTATAGTGACTACTTTGGAAAATACCTCCTTTAAACTTATAAAGTTACTATTGGAGGCATGTGCATCACAGAAATCACAGCCAGAATTCTGGGAGTTCAAAGAAGTCTCCCCTTCTCAGAGGGCTCTGAGCCCCCCACAGCCCCCAAGATAGGAGATCTCCTACCTCTCTCACAAAATGCAATCTTTCTGTTTCTCTGGAACATGTACTCACAAGACACATCTGAAGGCAGGTATGAAAACCTTCTGATGGGAATTTCAACTGCAGTGACCTTGGGGCAATGTTTTATCTTCCTGTGACAGTCCCTGCTGAGAAAGATTGACTTTTTGGCATAAAGCAGCGTGCTCAGGTTTGGATGATCAGCCCATATTTCAGCCTGGCCTCTGTTTTGCCTGCAAATAACTGTTCTCCTGCAAGACACTGACAGTAAAAACTGGTTGTAAGAGCTGGAAACTTAGCACTGAAATTCAGACTCTGACCTTGCTTGAGCAGATAGCAAGACTCCTGTTAATTACAAAATTTCTTTTCTGTATATATTGGGAAATTCACAACCCAGTGGTTCAGAACACAGAGTATTTACCAACCTTGCTTCTAAATATTGGCCTAACTGAATAGTGCAGTAGCACCTAGAACCTAATTTTTCACAGGCCTGTCCAGGTAATCTTCCATGCAACATAAAAACAACAAGGATTTTCCTGCCAGAGTTCAAGGATCATTTGGACAATGCTCTCAGGCACATTGTGGGATTCTTGGGGTGTTCTGTGCAGGGCCAGGAGTTGGACTCAGTGATCTTTGCGGTTCCCTTCCAGCTTGGGATACTCTCTGATTCTACCAGTGGTTGTTTCCTTGGTCAGTTCTTTTGTAATTCAAAGAATTGGAATTTAAAACCTGACACACGAGACCACAGCAGTTTTCCAAATCAAAAAGCTCTACAGAAATGGTTGAAGGTTAAATCCTTTCTTGAACCCACCTGTACTGGGATGTTTTCAGAAGTGTTTGTCTACAACACAGAGGCAACATGAAGTTTTACTCTCATCTTTTCTATTTTTTTTTTTCTGTTAAATCCACCAGACCAGAGAGGAGAACATCCTGGATTTTATTCTCTTTCCCATACCAGCAAGAGCTATTCCTGACAGCTACTGCACAAGTTAGCCAAAGGATTGGGCTTGTAAGACAGTTGTCATTTGCTTCACTAGGCAGGAGCGGGAATGTCCCCTCTTCCTTCACGTTGTTCAAGCCACAGAAGAGAAGTTGATTTTAATACATGGAATAAATAAATTCAGTCCAGTGCAGTGCATAAAGGGAAGCCAACAGCCCCTCCTGGTTTAATGTTGCATCTGGGTACACCTGGAACGATCCCCCAGCCAAAGGCACAACATGCAGAGGGGCTGAGCTGCCCAGCTGTGCTCGGAAGGGTCAAGACCAGTTTGGTCCATGTGGATTCTTGTTTTGATTTCAGCTTCCCTTATTCCCGCTGAGCAACACCAGGTGATGATACTGAAGCATTTCCCAGTGCAAAAGGAAGCAAAGAAGTGACGCCTTTGGGTAACACCGGGATGAAAACTTGGCTGGAGGCAGTTTAGCTGTGATGTCCTTTGAAAGCCATCACGACCCCCCCGGCAGGGCCCAGGGCAGCTTCTGCAGGGCTGTAAATGCAGATCCCACAGATGTGCACTGCAGTGAGTTTCCACCGTGCTGTGCTGCTTTGTCGAGATGCAGGTTGCACCATTTTCACTTGGGAAGCCTCATTCAATAGTGGCAGGGCTGCTCACTCAGGGAAAAAGCGCATGGGGTTTGATTTCTGCCCTGTGATGCCAGTGCAGCGCTGTCCTCCAGATCCCATGGCGTGTAGGCACATCCCAAGGCAGTTATTTCAGACAGTTACTGCCACAAACAGCAACAGGAAGTTCCTGTTCCCCACCTGTTCACAAGGTGACAAAAAGGGCCACTGAGGTACCTGATGAGAAGCCTTCGCTGCACCACTTGTTCCTTTCGTGATCATCAGAGCCCAAATCTGATTTTCAGACTCTATCAAAGGCTCCACTGGTCGTTCAGACCTTTAGGCTTGAACCACATTTCACCTGAAGGGAGGTGGGCAGGAGGCTTTTGGTCTGTCGTGCTTTAGCGCCGCGGTTGGGGCTGTGGACGTCTCCAGGAACAGAACTGCTGACCACCGTAACAAATGTATTTGTTGTTAAGTGTGTCCATAACTGCAGCGTTGCGTCATCTCCATGGTTATTTTAAAAATTCTCTTTGTGACTTTACATTATTAATAAGGTATCTACGGAATTGTCTAGAAAAAACATCCTGGTGTGGATCTTGATGGTGACTTTCTCATTTCCCAGTCCTCAGCTGGAGCAAACTGGTGTCACCTTCACTCTGTTATTTCTCTCCGTGTTATTGGCACTATTGTCACCAGCTGTCATGATAAGATATCCACAGTATGGCAGTAGGGAAGAATCTCTCTTTTGAAGGACAAACCAGATAAAATGACACAAGAAATATATGCTGTGCACCGGTTGGAAGCACAGCTGTGACGAGCTGGAAATCAAGCCTGTGATCACAAATAGGCCTTATGATGCATGGATGAGTTTAAATGGTTGCTTCCTATAACTCTACAAATACACTACCACTGGCAGATTGATTATATGTGATTTTTAAAAAACACACATGTGCTACAGATTAGAACAGGAAAACATTTGATGCTCTCTTTCTACTGACTTCCAAGTGTTTCAGCTGTGCTGCCATTTTAAAAATAGGGAAAGAGAAACACAGAGCAGAGTGCCACGATCAGCCACACAACAGTAGGGCCATGAGGGGAACTCACACCTCCTGAATCACCCTGAGCGGCAACAAGAGAATTGGAATAATTTGGTTACATTTATATAACATTCATAGAACAGATTACCCAGTAAGGGTAAAGCAACCTGGTTTGGAAGAGGTTTGGACTTGCTGTGTCATCAAAATTGTGGCTGGGAAATAGTTCACAAGAATCTGTGGTATCCGAGGGAACTTATTTGTATGGACTGACACACACGAATGCCATTAGCATAAGAGTTACTCAGGCACATCCTCCCAGATTGATCTCAGCCTCTGCTCGCTGCACGTGCCCGCCTGAGCCACATTTCTGTCATTCTGAAGTCATCTCCTAATCATAGAGAGAGTCCATCAGTGCCACTCCAGAGGCAGGGAGGGAGGGATGAGCTCATGTGTGGCTCACTGACTTTATTGCAAGTGGCAAGACCAAGGTGCCCCACTTACTTCCCAGGTAACAACCCAGGATGCAACTGCCTGAAAAATACCACCAGCTGCTGAATGCTAGGAAAGGAGCTAATGTTTAGGTGCTGTTGGAATAGTGTTTTGTAATACCCTCTAATTAAAAAAGCACCAAGGGCACAGCATCTTTGCCTAATGGTTACCTGGACTGTTCTTGTGCAGTCCCCTTGAAACACCTCCTGTAGGGTGTGTGGTCCTTCATGTCACACAGCTCTTGACTATTTAGGGTGAGGCACTCAGGCCTGAACTCCTCCTATTTGTGGCTATCAGATTTGACTTATGGCTTTATGGCACCCTTTTTAACCAGGGTGAGACATTATTTCTCTGGAATATTCTCAGTAACCTAAAACACACCCTGACAGAGATCCAAGGGAAAGAGAGACCTGTAAAGAACATGCTTTTTCCTTATAGCCATAGAAAGATGAGCTATGTCAGATATTCAAGGTTTCTATACCTGCTGATAGGGAAGAAGCAGAAGAACAGGGAGACAACCTGAGCAGGGGTGGTTACACTGTAATATCTCATGGTGTTTGAGAGCCTGAGTACTTTTACCCTTGAGACCCCAGGAATGTCTGTGCACAAATAAAATCCACCACTGGATTTTAAACCTCTGTGATTTTTACAGAAGTTTGCTTTAAAATTTAAATATATAACCTGTTTAAATTTGAATGTTTTGGTTATTCTTTAAATGAGTTTTATAATTTGGATGCCATTCAACTCTTGACTGTGTTCCGAAACCAACGAGGAATTTGCCCTATCCATCTTAGCTCATAATGGATAGATAGAACATATTAAGAGTTATCACCTCAAAAACAGATCAAAGTCTACTTCCTTTAATATTGACTTTCTTTAAAAGGACCTAAATATAACCTACTAGCTAAATAATTCAATTTTCGGAGGGAGGAAAGGAACTGAGAGCATGTTTATACAACAGACCACAATAACTCTACAGTTTTCTGATTTGTTAGAGAAGAAAAAAATCCTTCTCACATTTTCTGTTTAAGGAAATGTTACTCTTAGACTAAATGAGCCCAAACCTGTCAGCCATCCAAATGGACTCTTCACTGACATAAGTGGCAAACACTTGCATACATCACTGACAGGAAGAGCTCAGCTCAAGGAACAGAAACAGTGAGCTAATCTCAATAAATGGTCCTTTTTCAGATGTTTTACAATGTTGTGCAGGGGGCTTTTTACCTTCTCTACTTGAGTCACTCTTATTATCAAAGGTGTTGAAAGGTGGGGCTTTGTTGTTGTTCTCTTTCTGTTCTATCCCTAAATATCTCCAAGGTTTTGGAAAATACACATATCAGTGTGCACTGATGTGATCAAATACACATTCAGTGTTCTCAGAGAGTACCTCTGCATTTCATGGGAATGCAAGGAAGGAGGTACTAGGAACATCTCCTGCCATATGATCAAACAGTGCCTAGGGCCAGTCCAGAGGGTTTCCCCACAGCTGCTCAGGGCTCTTCCTGCTTCTGTTCTCAGTCCCTTCTTCCATTCTCATGAAATGCTGTGTTTTCTATCCTGCTGAGCATTGTTCAACGGGGTTTCTGCTTTTATGCAACCACGTTGTAGATGGGGAAGAGACCAGGAGGCCTCAAGGCTGGAAACCATAGAGCCCAACTTCAACTTCTGGGTGCAGAATGTGGTGCTGTGAGTGATTAACTTTCAATGGTGGCTCTAAAAATGACTAACCTGTATTTGGGACACACATTCCCTCAGTCTTTGTATTTTAAGTGCTGTGGAATCAAAAAAAAATAACCAAGTAAAGTCCACCACTATGTGTTTTGCAGAACAGGGGTATGAGAGTTTTAACCTCAGCTGTGTATTGTGTTTTTCATTATTAATGCTGGTTCAGTTAAGAATTTTGTTATATTTTGTACTGCTGCAGTACATGAAAACGCAGAAACTGGAAATGGGATCTTCTGCCTTTTGATTGGAACAGCGTTTGCAAAAGCCCTGACATCTCAAACCAGAACACACCTGCTCTTTCTGCTGGGAGAGAGGGCACTGGAATCCCTCACAATGACCCTGGTTGTTGCACCTTAGTCCCACCGGGTACAAACATCAGGCCAGTGTCTCTGTGGAGATGCCTGCACCCCAGAAGTGTAATTCCATCTCTGCCCAGCATTCTGAGCACTGCCTTCAACCAGAACTTTTTGTCCATCCCTAGGTACATGAAGAAGTACACACAAATGCAAAACCTTCTGGAAAGGATCTGTGAGAGGAGGACAGTGCAATCCCGTGGTGGGAGTGAACCACAGGCAGGTTGCCTGCCGGGAGGCAGCAGGGATGTCAGTCCCGTGGGTAACGACAGCCCGAGCTCAGGTGCCGGTCCTGCCCCGGCATGAGCTGTGTGATCCCGCTGATCTTCCCCAAACCAACAGCCGTGCCCCGTCACACCCCCGGGTCACACCCCCGGGTGCCCACTTTCGGCGTCCTGCGGGGGGCAGCCCATCAGTGACGAGCAGAGAGCCAACGTACCCACTTTGAGCTCCTTCCCGAAGACGGTCCTCTCTCCCAGGGCAGAGCAGTTCCAGCGCCCGTTGCGGAACTGGAACTGGCACTCGTTGATGCCCATCTGGGACCCCTCCCCGATGACGATGATCGCGTCGGGCCTGCTCTGGCAGATCGCCCGCTGCCGGGGGGCGAGCCCCGGGATCTTGTTGCAGATGATGCTCGCTCCCAGGGCCACCACCGAGGAAAAACCCCTGCAACGACAGGACACCAGAGCTGGCTGAGCGGAGGTTCGTCCCGCCGGCAGACGCAGCACCCCGCTGCCCTCCCGAGCTGCAGGGCCCGGCTTTGGCAGGTGCCCCCGGAAAACACCCGCCTTTCCCCCTGTCGCTTCCCTCTCCCTCTCTCCAAGCCAAGGCAAAGATAAGGAGAGCGGGACCAAACTTCCTCGTGGGTGAATTAAAGCGCACGCAGCGGCGTTGCCGGGCCACGCACAGACAACGGGCCGGGAGGGTTTTCCCAAACCTGTCGAACAGTTAGAGGAGGGAGGGAGAGGGGGAAGGCGGACAATCCCCGCTCCCTGCCCGCGGGCCGCGCCGCCTCCTCCGCACCGAGCGCACCTGGACGGGCCGGGGATGCTGCGGGACCGGAGCGTCGCACCCTCCCTGAGCCCCGCTCGGTGCGGGCGGAGACGGCTCCGCCGGCGGAGCCGCCGAGGGATGTCCGGGCGGGGAGGCGGGGCAGGTACCCGGCAGGTACCCGGCAGGTACCCGGCAGGGACATCCCGCGCCGGGGGCTGCCCGGGCATCCCCCCGGCTGTCCCCCCGGCAGGGACCGCCGTCCGGCCCCTCACAGCTCCGCACATCGCCGGGGCCGCCACCTCCCCCCCGAGGTGCGCGGGCTTTACCTGTCTCTTGAGAAATAATCGTGATCACCACTATCATCACCTTTTTTTTTTTTTTTTTTTGAGACTTCCCGAGTTAAATAGTAACAGGTCTGGACAGGTTGGGCTGAGAGCGAGTGAGAGCGCGATTGTTATAAAAGAAAGAGGGAAGGGAAAAAAAAAAAAAAAGTTACTTACCCGATCTTGATATACACAATCCCCAGGCTCAGGAAGATGTGGAAGATCCAGCGCCTTGTTTTCCTGTTCATATTCCTTGCTTGCCGTGGCTCAGACCAACACGCGAAACGATGCCCGGCGCGCTCGGGGCCGTTCCGTGCCGCTCCGTGCCGCTCCGTTCCGTGCCGCTCCGTGCCGTGCCGGTCCGTCGCTGGTGGTGCCGCGGTCACGGCCGCCCGGCCGAGCGGGGCAGCCCCCGCCGCGCCCCGCAGCTCCCGCCGCTCCTCGCCGAGCCCCCGCCGCCTCTCACCATGGCCCCGCCGGGGCTCCCCGCGCTGCGAGCCCCGCGCCGGCTGCGCTGCTGGCACAGGAGCGCCGTGTGCGGGACGGGCTGCGGGGTCCTGCGAGTGCCGGCCGCGTCCCCACCTTCAGTGGGAATTGTCTCCCTCTCTTCTCTCTTCTTTCCCACCCCCTTTTTTTTTCCTCTCTTTCTCTCTTTTTCAGCTACTTGGGCGTGTTCTCCTCAGGAGGGAGTTGTCCAGCCGGGGTGGGGGGGGGGAAGAAAGGCAGGGAGGTGGGAAGAAGGGGAACCAGGAATTGCAGGCGGATCACCTGCCTGCAGGGAGGCTCAGGGCGATCCTCCTCCTGCGGGCACGGCTCGGGGGAACGCGGCGGGGGCTCCGGGGGTTGTCACCGGGGGGCGCCCCCGGGGCTGGCCCCGGCCCGCCGGGCGGCATTGGGGCCGCCGCGCCCGGCTCGGCCCGCACCCCGCACCCCGCGCCGCTCCGCGCCCGCACCGCGGCCAAAGCTTTGACTCCGCGCTCGCCGCCCGCTCGCCGGGGCCGCCGAGCACCTGGGGCCGGTTTTATGCGTGTGCCCCGACGCTCCTCCCCTCGCTCTGCCTCCCCGCAGCCTCCCCGGCCCCGCGTCGGGTGAGCCCCGGGCGGCCGAGCATCCCCGCAGCGCCGCCCCGTCCCGCACCGCGGGCAGGTGCGGGGGGCGGCCGCCCCCAGCCTCCAGCGGGCTGGAGCGAGCCCCGTGTTCCCGCAGTGCCCTCCCCGCAGTGGTTTTGTGACTGATCTCCCAGTGGCAGAGGCAGGGCTCGGTCCTGCCGGGCCCCCGTGGTCGTGGGTTCCCGTCGGGTGTCCGCGGTCCGAGCCCACGGAGGGGGAAGGGGGCAGAGCGGGGGCTGCGGGTGCTCCGCGGGGCGGGGGGACCGGCCCGGCAGAGAGGAGGATCCCGTCTCCTCGTTGCGGGAATTTACACGGATATGGTGACTATTTTATTATCCACTTCAAATATTTCAAACAGGGAGGTTACCTAAATGATAACAGGGGTGTGGTGCGGGAATTGTTCTGCTGATAATGTTTTTCTGAAAACAAAAACACGATGACAGGATCCCTCAGGGTCCCTCCGAGGAGCCGGTCCGGATCTACCCCCCCGAGGAGCCGGAGCCCCCCTTGCGGGGCAGCGGGTGCGCCCGCAGGGACCCGGAGCGGGGGGACGAGCGGGGGTGCAGCCGGTCCTCAGGGGGTGGGGGCGGCCAGGTCCGTCCCTGCCGAGTGCCCACGGCCCGGAGTGGGGCTCCCACCCCATCTCTCCATCGCTCCCTTCCCCGGTGCGGCGGAGGATTCGCATCCCCTGGGCGCCCCGCAGCCTCCCCGCGCGTCCTTCCCACGGGCGGCCGGAGCCAGAGACTGGCCCGGGGTACGGAGCGGAGTGCGGGGCATGCGGGAGGTGCAGTGTGCGAGTGTGCGGGAGTGCGAGGGGTGCGGGTGTGCGGGGTGCAGTGGAAGGGGCAGGGTACGGGAGTGCCGGGGGAGGGAGTACGAGGGGCGCGGGGTCCGCGGGTGGGAAGTGCGGGGTGCAGGAAGTGCGGGGGGTGAGGGAGTGCGGGGTCCAGTGGGCGCGGGGGCTCAGGGTGCGGGGAGGGCTGGGTGCGGGACTGAGGGGTGCGGGGTACAGGGAGTGTGGCGGTTGGTCCAAGGGGTGCGGGGGGTGGGAAATGCCAGGGTGGGAAGCGCGGGGGGCTCGGGGGGTGCGGGGGATGCGCGGACGCCCCGCGGGCAGCGCCCGCCGCAACCTCTTTATCAGAGCGACACCCGGCGGCACGCAGGAACGCGCCGAGGGGAGGGGAGGCAGGTGCGGGGGGGAAGAACAAGAGGGAAAAACAGGGAGAGGGAAGAACAGGGAGGGGAAGAACAGGAGAGGGAAGAACAGAGAGGGAAAACAGAGAGGGGAAGAACAGAGAGAGAGCAGGGAGGGAAAAACAGGGAGAGGGAGAACAGGAGAGGGGAAGAACAGGGGAGGGGAAGAACAGGAGAGGGGGAACAGAGAGGGAAGAACAGGGAGAGAGGGAAGAACAGAGAGAGGGGGAAGAACAGGGAGAGAGGGAAGAACAGGGAGAGAGGGAAGAACAGGGAGAGAGGGAAGAACAGGGAGAGGGGGAAGAACAGGGAGAGGGGGAAGAACAGGGAGAGAGGGAAGCGCGGGCAGCAGCGGACACAGTGGGCAGCCCTCAGCACCTACAGGGCATTTGGGGCGGTGGGAGCAGCCTCCTCAAGGCTTTTACAGCCTCCAGTGGAAAAAATACCAGGCCCCCATCCCTGAAGCACACCCAGCAGCAGGTACCAGGTGTGAATAGAAGGCAGCATGTACCGGTGAGAATAAATTCAAGGCTTAGGACAGCTCCTCTTTGGGTGGGAAGGAGACCTCCCAGCAAAGGCAAGTGCCATTAAGAGCGGGCAGAAAGGCCGTGTTTCAGTCTGCAGTTGTCCATCCTCTCCTCTGACCAGCAAGGATGTTATGTGTGGGCTGCTCGGTGCACTGTCCTCTGTGCACATCCAGCAGCTCTCCAAGTGCCAGAACGTGCCCTGTCACTGCAGCCACACACCAAAGCATCTGTTTTGCCTGTGCAGATCTGGCAATGCAGGTCTTTATTTTTTGCAGCATACATAGCTCGGGACAGTGATGCCCTGATCCATCAGCTGGGCTGCTGAGGGCTAGGACCATCTGAAACAACCTCCAAAATACTGCAGGTGAGTGACAGAGCTGCTGCTGAACAGGACTCAGGATCACAGGGTGGGGGTTGTTGCTTTTTTTGTTGCTCTTAGTGCGACTGGTCACATTGGTTCAATAGTCCTTGAGCAGAAATGGGCAAAAAAAGTCTCAGGAGTCTCATCCTGAAACAAAACTTCCTTTCCAAAAAGTAAATCTATGTTCTGAACACTAAAATAACTGGGAGGTCGTTTTAAATTTGCTTCAGAGTTTCAGTCCATGTTCCCTGCTCTGGTGATCTGGCACATAAAACACTGTGCAGGAGATCTTTAGGCTTCATTCTGGGGATTTTTTTGGCATTTCTGATGTTTAGTATAACTCAGCCTCAGCAAGTCATCTGTTTAGCACAGCCCGGGGGTATGGGACAGGTCAAGGCTGAGCAAATTGTTGTCTTAGGGTTCAGGAAGAGCAGAAAATGGCAAAGCTGTCTCAGAAAATGAAGATAAATAATTTACTGGACTAATCAATAACTTGCTCTGTTCATTCCTAAAAAAAAAGTTGTGACCTAGATATATGTGAGCATCTGTGTGTGTGCATGTGAAGCATATATAAAATAACATTCCTGTGCAGATTAAAGGAGGTAGTTTGGCTTGTTTGGCAAAGTTTCTCAGAGTTTTTTAATCATTACTTAAAATGCTGTAGACTTTAAATGGTCCTTTCAACCATGATGCCTTTTGAGTGGGCTGCAGTAACTAATCTTTACCTACCACCTGTTTTACAGGGCATGTATATCCAGCTTCCTTTTTTTACACTGTCTTCATTTTTATTCTTTCTAATAAATAGATTCTAATATCTGCATAATAAAATCAATAGGAGGTATTATGATAAATTATTCTACTTCTCTTAACAGAGTAAAGTAATAAGTTTTAGGAAAATTGGTAAATCAACACAAAACTTAGGACAACAATTAGAAATCAATGACAGAAAAGGAGGCATCAGAAAATTGCCTGTGGCAATAGAAATGAACTTGAAACCATGCTCTTAGAAGGATTTAAAAGAAATCCCAGAGCTCCTGATTCAGGAGAAGGGGTCTGCAGGTACAAAACCAGCCCTCAGGATTCTCCTGGAAGAACCTTGTGTCCTCTCTGCAGGAACTTGGGCGGCAGTTTTTGCCCCTTCATGAAGCACAGCTGTCTGTGCCATCAGGAAGGGACAGGCCTGGTCCAAACACGCTCCTCTGACCTTACCAGGGAGAGAGTCCAGGGCAGGGGGAGAGGAGAGCCTGGCTCACCCTGCCTCAGGGGAGACCACCTGGTGTGTGCTCAGCAGCCCCTGCCCAGGCACCGGGCAGGATGGACCGTGATGCTGCACTCACTGGGTGTGAGCTGGCAGCCAGGGGGACACTGAGCTCCAAGGAACCATGGAATCCTGGAATATGCTGCATTGGAAGGGACCCACAAGCATCATCGAGTCCATCTCCTGGCCCTGCACAGGTCCATCCCCAAGAGTCACCCCCTGTGCCCCAGAGGATCATCCAAACCCTCCTGCAGCTCTGGCAGCCTTGGGGCTGTGCCCACTGCCCTGGGGAGCCTGTTCAGTGCCAACCACCCTCTGGGGGAAGAACCTTTCCCTGAGATCCACCCTGAGCCTGCCCTGACACAGCTCCAGCCATTCCCTGGGGGCTGTCCCTGCTCCCCCCAGAGCAGAGCTCAGTCCTGCCCCTCCTCTGCCCCTGCCCAGGCAGTTGGAACTGCAGGGAGGTCTCCCCTCAGTCTCCTCTGCTCCAGCTGAACACACCAAGTGCCCTCAGTGTCCTCACACGGCTCCAAATCCAGGCCCTTCCCATCTTCCTTCCCTCCTTTGGACACTCTCCAATGGCTCAATCTCTCCCTTCCATTGTGTCCCCCCAAACTGCCCCAATGTTGAGGTGAGGCCACCCCAGGGCAGAGCAGAGCGGGACAATCCCCTCCCTGCTGCCCCCAGGACAGGGCTGTCCCTCCTGGCTGCCAGGGCACAGGGCACGGGGTCTCTGCAGGTCTGAAGTCACAGCCCTACGTACAAGTCTTGAGTGTAGGACCTGGGAGAGAACAGCGAGCTCTCCACTGTGCTTCACCCATAGCTGAGAGAAGAAACCTCGAGAACCTGTTCCATCCCAGGCTGTGGCAGAGGGAGGTTTGGTTCTACTGGCCCTGCCAGTGCCTAAAGGGGCCTACAAGGAGGCTGGAGAGGGACTTTCCACAAGGGTGTGGAGTGATAGGACAAGGGGGAATGGCCTTAAGCTGAAGGAGGGCAGAGTGAGATGGGAAAATTCTTCCCTGTGAGGGTGGGCAGGCCCTGGCACAGGCTCTCCAGAGAAGCTGTGCCTGCCCCATCCCTGGAAGTGTCCAAGGCCAGGTTGGATGGGGCTTGGAGCAACCTGTGCTAAGTGGAAAGTGTCCCTGCCCATGGCAGGGGTGGAATGGGATGAACTTTAAGGTCCCTTCCAACCCAAACCATTCCATGATTCCATGATTCTGTGGTGCCAGACCGGTGACCTGAGCCATGGGTCTCCCCTGCCTCTGCTGAGATGCTCGTTGCTATGAGGAAACATATCCCCAGGCAGAGCAAATAGTTTTATTCCAGATATGATCTCTTTGCTCTCACCTTTTACTACCCATGTCTTTATTTAGCAGCAGCAACTTTCTTCTGAACAAAGCCTAGGCCCAAGCTACACCCTGGAGCCATCCATCACTTGTTGCCACAATGGTGTTTCTATTGTTAATTGTTTGTCA